AGTTCTCTATATTCCCACAGAGATGAGAGCCCTAGGCTGAATTCTTGGTGAAAAGGGAGGTGGCAGCCATGGTGTTGTCTGGGTAGGGGGGTAGCATGGACCACTTGGCCAGCTTCCTCTGTAGAAACACCCCTTTCAGGTCCTGGGGCGGTAGCATTTCCTCCAGTGTCAGCACTGATCTGCCAACCAGAGAAAGGAACCTCCATTGAGAAGAGGCTGAGGCCGCTGGCCACGAATTCCTTCCACATTTACTCCCTTCCGTGGCTCCAGTGTGGACCTGAGTCCTGGAGGCTGCACTGCCATAGAGTTAGAACTGCAGCACATGAACATTCATGAAGGTCACTCAGAATGTGCTAGAAAAGAGGAAAAGCCCCAACTAAGAAAAACCCAGTCTCCTGTCTGGGGCTCTTTCACAGACAACAGAAAGTCAGAATTCTGTTTGTACCCTGGCCCCTCATTGCTTCTGTTCCCTGTCTTCCGTTGACTCCTGGGATTCACCAGGGATGTTTGGGTGAGTTAGGTTGGGATGGAGTTGACATTGGGAACTCTCTGAACTTGAGCAGAAGACTCCTCAGGAGCCAATAGTATTTTAAAGATTGGATCTCACTACGTACTCTTGGACTTGCTGTGTAGACCAGGCTGTCTTTGAACTCACATATATCTGGAGGCAACTCAGTTCCAAAGGGATGTGGAACATGTGTCCTCAGTCACTGTCAGTGGTTTACTCATTTTATAGGAATGTAATGCCAGGCAAAGAGCTGTCTTAGTGACAAATGGATCAGGGAGAAGAGAAGTCCTGCCTGAGGTCAGTGCCTGAGGCTGGGGAGAGAGTGTTTCGTTTCCCTCCTGTGCTCAGATAACCAGAGCCTTCCTTACTCCCTCTAGCTTGGATTGTGTCCACTAAGTGGGTACCTGGTTGTCATGACCTGGGGCTCTGGCACGCAGCTAGCCAGTCTAGCAGAACAATCAAGTCTCATTAATGCAAGAACTTTGTTTATACAATTCTGATTCTTAAACAGGTAGACGTGTGTGGTCCAGGTGAGTTCAGTTATCCAGTCTCAAAGCCAATGATGCAATCAACAAAAGTTGAAAACTATTTGCCAGAAGTAATGGGACAAAAAGTTATTTTGAGTAAGTGTCTAACTCCAGCAGAACACAGAGCAGCCACACACCACTGCTGACGACAGCTCTTCACCTGTGTCACTGAGCTGTCACAGTTAGGGTGGGGAGTACTGTGAACCCCAGGGACTCATTTACCCACTGGATATTGGCTGAGCAATTAGTACCCGTCAATCACTGCTAGCTGGTAAGGATAAAAATGGCCCTTTGTGGAGCTCATGGTTTATTGAGTGATGAAAGCAATAAAACAGCTTTTTTTTTTTTTTTTTTTTTTTTTTTTTTTTTTTTTTTTTTTTTTTCGAGACAGGGTTTCTCTGTGTAGCTTTGCGCCTTTCCTGGAACTCGCTTTGTAGACCAGGCTGGCCTCGAACTCACAGAGATCCGCCTGCCTCTGCCTCCGAGTGCTGGGATTAAAGGCGTGCGCCACCACCGCCCGGCTAAAACAGCTTTTTAAAGGTGTGGTAAATGCTGGGAGAAGAGTGGTAGAGGACCCCTTGGGATCCTGATCAGAAAGCGTTAGAAGCTGGCTTATGTGGCCACGGAGGGCAGAGGTCAATGACCTCCATCATTTTTTCTCCACCCTCCTGCCCCAGACAGGGTTTCTCTATATGTAGCCCCGGCTGACCTGGAACTAGCTCTGTGGACAAGGCTGGCCTTGAACTTGCAGAGATCCACCTGACTCTGCCTCCCAAGTGCTGTGATTAAAGGCCTGCACCACCACTGCCTGGCCATTTTTTATTTTTAGATAAGGCTCTCTCTGGGCTTGGAGCTCATTGATTGGCTAAAACGGCTGGCTACTGAACTCCAGGGATTCTCCAAGTGCTAGGATTAACATGCAGCCTGCCGCAGCTGGCTTTTCACAAAGTGCTGGGGGGTCTGAACTCAGTTCCTCAGGTTTGTGTAACCATCTCTATGCTCTGGAAGTCGGGTCTTAGAGCAGTCGTTCGAGGCTGAGAAAAGCCCACAGTAAAGACTGCTGTGGGAACACCTGAGGGGGCGGCCAGACTCCACACATCAAACTGAAGACAGCAGTGTGTTCTGGGCCAATGGGCCATTTGTACAATAGAGAAGGGAGGAGAATAAACATTACATACAGTGTAGTGTGAACAGCACACCTGGGAAGTGAAGAAAGTGGAGACATTACAGAGGACAAGTCAGGGGTAAGTGAGCTAGTGAGACAGGAAGAGTCACAGTGTGTGCCCTGGAGTCGAAGGTCAGGTCTGTGACAACTTTGGAAGCCTAGCACTCAGCATGCCTGGGGCAGTGGGTGCAGAGGGAGGTGGGAAAGGTGGTGGAGGTCTCCAGCTACTTTAAAGATGCTTCTTAACTAACCCATGGAGCTTGGTGTGAGGGGGCATACTTTTAATTCCAGCACTTGGGGAGGCAGAGGATCTATGAGTTCCGCTACAGCCGGAGCCTCACAATGAGACTCTGCTGCAAAAATAAATAAATAATAAATACAATGAAAAATTTAACCCTGTGACTAAAAGGCAGAGTTAAGTAGCTATAGACCAGCGCGGTTGCAGCATAGACACTGATTTTGAAGGCGAGCATGACCAGAGGGTTTTGTAGCCATCCTAGGAGGAAACTGAACCAGAACCAGTGGAAAGAAGGCAGTTGTGAGCATATCCGGGAGGTAGGTCGACGGGTCGTTGGCTTGCTTTTGCAGCGTGTGTCTGTGTTGGTGGTGGGGTAGGAGAGTAAGAGTGTATGTCATGCTTCTGACTTGGCAGCTGGGGGGTGTGTGTGTCATGGGCAGTTTCCAGGAACAGAATGTGTACAAATGGAACTTGGAGGAGAGGTGCTGCCTGGAGATACTTAGTACCATCAGCATAGAGGTGAGAGGAGAGGAGTGTAGTGTGAATCGAGAACCCGGCCAGGAAGAAGGGAGAGAATTTACAGACTTTACTTACTTCCCCGTTTGGAATGCGTAGGAGAGGTAGGAGAGTGACCGAGGAAGATGTTGAAGATTTCACAGGTGTGGGGGAGGTTTTGACCATTGTGCTCTGGGTCCACTGGAGAGGTGAGCTCAGAGGCCCAGGTATCAGAAGACTGCGTAATGATCTAGTGGGTGGAGGTGCAGGCATTGGAATAAGGATGTAATTGTCAAGGAATTTGGCTGTCGGGTGGAGAGAAGGCCCAGCAGTTTAGAGCATTTGCTTCTCTTACGGGGTTCCCAGTACCCACATCCGGCTGTAACTGGAGGTGATGTTCAGACGGCTGTGCGGGTACAGCTCAGCCATGTGTTGAAATATTTATCAGTAAGTAGTGATGAGTAACTGCAACAGCAGGAAAAACATCAAACTGAAACGAACTCGCGTCCCTTGCAACTCCAGATCCCAGCAGCCTTGACTAAAGGGGTCTTCCCGCCTCACCTGCGACGTTGCAGTGCCACCTGCTGGTGAAGCTGCGTCATGGCAGCGCGGAGGAAACTAAAATCGCTTTGTCGGAGCAGGGCTGTGCTGCACGCACGCCTTTAAACCCAGCACTCCAGGACAGACAAGACAAGAGACAAGAGGATTGCTGTGAATTTGTAGGCTATTCTGAGCTAAATAACAAGACCTGTCTCATAAAACAAATGAAAATTATCTTTGCGCTTTTGGGTTGCTACTGCTTTTAAACATTTAGCTTCATTCTTCTCTTCCTGGCAGGATGCAATGACTTACTATTAAAGCTGAACTTGAATGACGACACGGCAAAGTTTGGAAAATTAAAAAAAAATTATCTTGGGCATAGAGGGCTCAGTGACTAAGAGGACTGGCTGCTCTTCTAGAGACCCTGGGTTTGATTCCCAGGGTACGGTATCAGAAGTTGTGAGTACGGTGGCCCACAACTGTCTGTAACTCCAGTTCAGATCCCTCTTTTAGCGTGAGAACCTTTTGATTCTCAGGAAAAACAAAAAAGGACACGAATGAGCTCCAGCTCAGGATTCTTCTGTTATAATGTAAAAAGTAGAGTAGTATGGAAATTATTTCTAGTTTTTTAATTTTTAGTTTTGAAGAATAGGGCTGGAGAAATGACTCAGCAGTTAAGTGTGCTTGCTTGTTAGTCAGGCGGTGGTGGCACACCTTTAATCCCAGCACTCCGGAAGCAGAGTCAGGTGGATCTCTGTGAGTTTGAGGCCAGCCTGGACTGAGAGAGTTCCAGGAGAGCCAGGACTACACAAAGAAACCTTATCAAAACAAAACAGCCGGGCGGTGGTGGCGCACGCCTTTAATCCCAGCACTCGGGAGGCAGAGCCAGGCGGATCTCTGTGAGTTCGAGGCCAGCCTGGTCTCCAAAGCGAGTACCAGGAAAGGCGCAAAGCTACACAGAGAAACCCTGTCTCGAAAAACCAAAAAAAAAAAAAAAAAAAAAAAAACAAAAAAACAAACAAACAAACAAACAAACAAACAAACAAACAAAAACAAAACAAACTAAAAAGAGTGTGCTTGCTCTTGCAGAGGACCTGGGTTTGGTTCCTAGCATCCAGGTCAGGCTGCTCACAACTCCCTATAACATCAACTCCAGAAGATCCAACACCCTCTTCTGGACTTCGTGGGCAACTGTTCTCACATATACTTAAACACAGACAGACAGACACACACACACACACACACACACAGACACACACACACACACAGAGTTTCTCTCTGTAGTCCTGGCTGTTCTGGAACTCACTTTGTAGACCAGGGGATTAAAGGCGTGCGCCACCACCGCTCAGCTAGAGTTAATTTCTAATGCCATCTAACAGTCCATCATCTCTCGAGTGAAATGGTCCCTACTGGGTTCATGCGTACTGGAGCCCGGCGGCTAGCTCTTTTGCGGAACCTTTAGTAAGTAGGTGGAGTCTTGCTGACGGAAGTAGGTCACTGGGGGTGGGATTCAAGATTTGGGCCCAGCGGCTCACATCCGCTTCTGTTCTTCGGAGGGGGTCCGCCATCATCAGCCGTGTGTGTGTTCATTCTTAAGCGGTAAGCCAAAATAAACCTTTTAAAGTTGCTTCTTGTCGGAAATTTTGGTTATTAAAGCAAGAGAAGATTACAGTCCTCGAACCTTTCCGACTTGGAGCGCCGTCTCTAGTTCTTTTGATTTTTATTTTCCTGGCCTGGATTTTAATTTTTCCCAGCTTTGCTTATTTGGATCTGATGGACAAGATGGTGCATGTTTGAAGTATATGACACGGTGTTTTAGAATACATTGTTTGGGGCGGCGGAGATTGTTCAGTCTGTGGAGTGCTTGTCTTGTAGCTCCGGACTTGAGAGCTCGGTCCGTAGAAATCACGTAAAATAGCGGAGTGTGGTGGCGCGTGTTTGAAAACACAGCTGGGAGGAAGAGGCAGGCCGATTCCCGGGGCCACTCGGCCAGCCAGTCTAATCAGTGAGTTCCAGGACAGTGAGATACCTTGTCTGGAAGAGAGGAGGCCGCCGTAGGAAAGATCTGGTCTCCACTGGGAACGGCGGGCGCAGTGGCACACTCCTTTAATCCCCGCATTCCTGAGGCAGAGGCAGGTGGATCTCTGTGAGCGTGAGGCCAATCCCTTTCCTTTTTTTACACACGTAAATGGGTTGAGTTTCGACCTTCTCATAATGCATAGAATGTATTTTGTTCATATTCACCCCACCACGCCCTTCCCGCTCCTACCGACCACCTTTCTCTTCTCAGATCGTTTTTTAAAATACTGTGCTTTTTGTTTTTTTGTTTGAGACAAGGTTTCTCTTTGTAGCCCTGGGTATTCTGGATCTTGCTCTGTAGACCAGGCTGGCCTGGAACTCACAGAGTCCTCCTGGCTCTGCCTCCCGAGTGCTGGGATTAAAGGCGTGCGCCACCACTGCCCGGCTCCCTTCACTTTTTGTGGCTGAAAGACAGACACGGCTAAGAGCTGGACCTGGGTTCCTAGTTTAGCAATGGTGGTGTCGGTGCCCGTTACATGTGCGCGAGTGCTGATATGCTGAGGATACTGATGGAGAACCTGGGCCGGCCGCTCCCTCCCTCTCCTTTCAGGAAATTCACCTTCCTGGACACATTAGCTGTTTAATAGCATCTTGCTGTATAGGAGTTTGTAGGAGTTAACTGTTCTGAACCCATCCCCATCATTTCTCTTTGCTGTTAGGCCGATGATGACAGTAGATTAAAAAGTTTTTCAGAGAAGAACAGGATGCCTTGGAAGGAGACAGCCACACTGAAGAGTGGCAGGATTTTGCTCGCTGTGTCCACCTCGCCCTCTTATGTGTTCTCTGGTTGAAGAGGGACCAGTCCCCCCTCCCTCCACGTCTGTCACCTCTAGGCGATGCCATCCACTTTTTTTCCCCTTTCATTGTGTTTTTTGTTTTTATTTGTTTATTTTTTTGAACATAAAAACAGGGTATAATTCAAAAGTCCAGAGTTATTTTAAACAGTAAAATATTTTCTCTGTAGAAAATAGTAAAAATGATAACATTTCCCAATAAGCCCTTTTAAGCCAAATGATAGCTGAATTATACATATAAATACTGATTAGATTCTGGGATACAGAAGAAACCTATCTCCATCTGTTCAGAGAGCTATGTTTTACTTAAGTTGTGTAAGTGAGATTCCTTTTCATCTTCCCCTTCACTGTTTGATTTATGGTAAACATTTTTTTTTTTTGGTGGGGGGGAGGTGAGGATCGAACCCAGGGCCTTGAGCTTGCTAGGCAAGCACTCTACCACTGAGCTAAATCCCCAACCCCAACATTTTTCTATAGGCTAATCCATAATCTAAAAAGATTTTAGCCTCCTCTCCTGAAAGTATGGCCAGCATTTTCTTTCATCAGCTTGATACGGTACAAATTCTTTTCCTAATAGTGAAATGCTTCACTAAAACTTGCCCAGTGATTGGGCAAAACCAAAACTTATTCTACGCCACAGTCATCCTAGGGTCCCCCCTGCTCAGTAGCCTCCCTGGGTGTATGGGTTGCAGTCTGATTGTTCTTTGCTTTATATCTAGTATCCACTTATGAGTGAGTACATACCATGTCTGCCCTTCTGGATTTGGGTTACCTCACTCAGGATATTTTCTAGTTCCATCCATTTTCCTGCAAATTTCATGATGTTGTTGTTTTTCTCTGCTGAGTAGTACTCCATTGTGTATATGTACCACATTTTCTTAATCCAGATGCCATCCACTTTTACGGTCAAGGTTCTTATGGTTTTTTTTTTTTTTGTCAACCCCCCGCCATGTGGTGATAGAACCCAGACCCTGGCATGCACAGGGGTATAGTACCGCAGCCTAGAGTGTTTTCTGGTTGATTGCCCTGATAGACAGAACAGCTGATAAAACGGATGGAACTTCTTGGTTGTTCCTCCTCATGACACTTTCACCTGGCTTTCAGAGAGCTGGGACAGAGTGGCATCCATGCCGTCCTGTTTTCTTATGCTGTCCTCTTAGGGTGTGGGCTTTGCAGCTGAAGCTCCTGTTCTGTGCCACTGGGGAGCACCAGCAGGCCCTGCCTGTGGGGTGGGTTGACAAACCGAGGTGGTTGTCTGGTGCCACTGCGCTGCATTCTGACCTTACACAGGACCCTGGGAGGTGGAGTCAGTGAGTCTGGGGTGCGGGCAATGCCCTGCCACGGTGCTAGGGTGACTTCGAGTCATCTGTAGTTTGAATTACTAGAGCCTGGGAGGCATGCATGGGAACCACCACCAAGGGTATCGAGGACAAAACAGACCTGACCCAGTTGAGTTCATCAGCAGTGTGCCCGTCTTAGATAGAGGCTGTGATGTGTGGCTCTGAACACCTGCCAGCTGAGCTGATTAAATTATCTCGTATTTGGCCATGATACGTAGACAGCGATGTTAAAATGCCACAGCTCTGAGGTTGGTGAAGGGAGATCTCTCCAGTGGGACAGAACTTAGGCAGTGTTTCTAACTGTCCCCTTCAAATGGGAGAATGCTGAGGTGTACCCATTCACCCACAGTTACCACGTTGTCAGGGTGGTCAAGGGACTTGTAAAGGTCGAGATTGTAAGATCAATGGCAAGTTTGAGGAATGGGAGTATGAGCTGGGGATGGTGGCACTCGCTGGCCTTTAATTCCAGCACTCAGAGGCAGGCGGACCTCTGTGAGTTCCAGGACAGCCAAGGCTACACAGAGAAACCCTGAAATTTAAAATAGTCTTGACTTACCAAAATGGCCACTAGGGGGCAGCCTCTGACAGGAGGTTGAGTAGCAGCGGGACGGTCACGTGACGGGTCACACCCTCTCCTCACTAGGCAGAGCCGGCTCTGTCACTGTTCCGACCAGCCTGCCAAGAGTGAAGGATGAGTCTGGCCAGAATTCTGGCGAGGAGCAACCCGTCCTTCACAGCTGGTGGCTTGACTGCTTTCGGTTCATTCATTCTTTGAATTTATCTTCACAGGAGTGTTGCACATTTTGTCTCACTTCCTGCCTTAAACGGTTATTTCTGCCAGAATTATCATTCTTTCACAGTGTAGCCCAGGGTGGCCTAGAAAACACCATCTTTCTGCCTCAGCCTCCCGGGAGCTGGGTTTAAAGGAACTCACCCCCACACCTACCCGGCTTCCTGTGGCTCTTCTATCTCACCCCACTTTGCGCTTCTCTATGCTGGTGGGATTGTCTACATTATCTCTTTGCAAGTCATGTTCAGTGATGTCTCTTTGCAGTTTTTTTAAATGTATTTATTTCTATTTTATGTGCATTGGTGTTTTGCCATGGTGTCAAGTCTTCTAAAACTGGAGTTATAGACAGTTGTGAGCCACCATGTGGTTGCTGGGAATTGAACCCAGGTCCTCTAGAAGAACAGTCTGTGCTCTTAACCACTGAGCCATCTCTCCAGCCCCTCTTTGCAGTTTTTAACATCACATAAATGAGCAAATTTGGGGCCGAGGAAATAGATCAGTCAGTAAAAATGCTTTCCCTATAATCGTGAGGGTCTGATTTCAAATTCCCAGAACCCATGTGGGAAACATGGCATGTGACTGCCTGTCATCCCACACTAGGGAGGCAGAGGCATGAGGATATCTGGGGCTTCCAGTCCAGCCAGGCATGCTCAGTTAGCCAGCTCCTTCGGGCTTGGGTTGCAGATTGACTTAAAAGCTGATCAGGACCACTCATGACTCCCTGCTCCCTGATTCACAGCGTGACCAACGCTTTGCCTTCCCTGCTGTGGTGGACTGTGTGTTCTCAGAGGGTGAACCAAAAGAAATACTTCTTTCCGTAGTGGATTGGGTTTTTTTGTTTATTTGTTTGTTTGTTTTTTCCTTTTCTTGTTTTTTGGAGGTACTTTTTGTACTGAGAAAAGTAATGAACACATTTAGTAGATATTTTCTGACCTGTAATTTTCTCATTTAACTTTATCGCTCAGTGTGGTTTGAGTAAGAATGACCCCCATAGGCTCAGATGAGTAATTGAATGCCTGGTGGCCTGTTGGGAGGGATGAGGAGGCGTGGTCTTGGAGGTTTCAAAAGTCCATGCCAGGCCCAGTCTCAGTCTCTCTCTGCCTCTCTCCTGCCTGTGGGATCATGATATAAAACTCTCAGCTACTTTTCCAGCACATGTCTGTCTGCATGTAGGCATGCTTCCCATCACGGTGATAATGAACTCACCCTCTGAAACTGTAGGCAAGCCCCCAGTTCACTGCTTTCCTCTATTTATGAATTGACTTGGTTGTGTGGTGTCTCTTCACAGAAATGGAACAGTGACTAAGACTGAGGAATTTCCAACTTAACCCAAGAAGTTCACTGAAATGTCTCAATATTCCTTTGCCTGGTACTGTTGATCAGTGAGGGGCGGGGCGAGGGCGGACGAGACTGAGACACTGAGACTGGGATTGTACAGGAATCCAAGTCTGTGCCACCCTGTCCAAGATCCCTGTCAGGTGCAGAGGCAGCTTGGGTGGACACCAGGACACTGAGGAGAGAGACAGCTCTGTTCTCTGTTGTTTTTCCCTCTTCTCTTTTGATACTAATTGCATTCCCTAAATAGCTGTATTGTAA